AACCATAAGCAGGAAATTGTGCTTCCCAAATAGCACCAGAAACCTGCTTCAACCCTGACTAAAGATGCCCTCTTTAAAAGTAAGGTGGAAAAATCAGGCTCTGTCTCCATTTGATTCCCGCCTTTTCTGCTGAGCTTGCCAACATCTTTAGTAATGGTGCTGTGGATAGTTGTTAACTTAGAAGCTGCTTTCACATTGCCAAATTATTTCACACAGGTCACCATCTGCTACTGTAGTAATGACCCTCTGGATATGTTCCAGTGACCTGTGGTTGAAGGACTGTATTTAGTTCATTAACAAATTCTGTAGCCATCCTGTCCCATTAAACATATTTTAAAAACACCACATAAAAGTTTAAGCTTGTTTTGGTTTCTTTTTTTTTTTTCTCTGTTGGTTGTTCTTTTTTGCTTCACAGCCCGGATTCTTTGTTACTTGTCTCATACTAACGAACAAACTACAACTGCTTCTGACAGCACAGAGAAATCATATGCTGATCAGGTCAGACAAGGTGTGGTATCTGAAACACAGATAAAGATAAAGCTTAACCCTTCCATAACCAGTTTGATTATATTTATAAACTACCTGCCGCTATCTGCCTGGCTTGCAGGTAGCAGAATTTGGCACTGTCAGTTATGTTACTATAAAACTGGAGTCATTCTATGACCTCAGTCACGTTATTGTTTGTACCAATGCAACTAAGATCACAATTTAACCTAGATGGCATAGGAAGGTAATGGCAAAAATGCTAACCCAGTCAATGGACCAGGGCTATTTCTGTCAGTGAAGGTAACCAGATCATCCAAATTAGTCTTTCCGCAATCTGAACTTGTTTTGTGGTCTTAAATCAATATAAATCAAAATTGAGCAAAGGTTTTATGGCATTCAAAGAGAATGTTTAATGCCATTTTTACTACAATCAGAGTAAACCTCTGTTTTTCCCCCCTAACTATGTGCAGGCCAGCATGGCTTTGACTTATGATCCAACAGCTGCTATACAGAACGGGTAAGTAATATTTTTTTCTATTCCCTGTTTGAAATTATTTATAGTACTCTTTTTATTTTGTAATACTCTTCCTTTCAGGGAAACTCATTCAGAAACAAATTAGTTCTATAATGCATTTATAAACTACATAAAGTTACACTGTTAAGTACATTTCACAGTTTGCATTTGTTATTTTACTTTTTCTGTTTAAACTAGCCACCTGAACATTAGGCGTCTTCCCTAATCATTTCCATTTCCATTTGTCAAATGCTGATTTTATTCTTCTTATGAAAAAAAAGTGAAGTTCTCCCTTTATTGATTTAACATATGTTAAAATAATTATCAAAGATACTACCATAGTTTATATAATACAGTTGTTAATTAAACTAAGTTCCCCCTACTGGTTGGATGAGTATCACTACATTGTCTCAATAGAAATACTAATTAATGGCAAAACATTAAATTAGCTTTTGAACAAAAGTAATTTAGGACTAAAATTTTGAACTCTGCTCTCCTTCATTTTTCAATTACAGTTTAAAGGCACAAATAATTGTAGACACTGGCACAGTTAAGCCATTTAACCATTTACCCATCTGATTGTGCCAGCAATTATCTCCTGGCTTGAAAAATTAGATCCTTAAAATCTAGGGGACATTTCAAACTAGATAACGTTAGCTTTAAAATAGATTATACTTTGGCCCTGAACTACTTGAAAGCAACTGTTTAACTAAATAAATGTTCTATAGTCTCATCAGAGTTTATCTATACACCTTGGATCTTCCATTTAATGGAAGGGAGAACACATGAAAATAAGAAAAAAAATATTTTTCTTTCTAAATATTTCTTAGACCACTGCAAATAAATTATTCAAATATAGCACTATTAATATCAGTATAACTACTACTACTAATAATAATAAACACTTTTAATTTTCACTGCACTTCCCAAACATTACCTCTGCCAGTAAAATGTTACCTCATTTTGTAGATGAAGAGACTAAGGGAGAGAAATAAAGAGAGTAACAAAGGGAGCATTTTCTAAACTCTGATCTGAACTCAAAAAGCCGACATCTGGTCCCTTGCGCTGATATCTACAATAAATCTCTTTCTCCCTTTCCTGCACTTTTCCCCATGTGATAGCTGTGATTTTTAGTTGGTGGCATATGTAGAATACCTTGGGGATGGGACTTGCTTGATCAGAAGTTCATAATCTGGCCATAGTTCATCTAAACCAGGGGTGTCAAATGTGACTGACCCTGGCTGGATCCAAACTATGGGCTCCTTGCTGGTTGGATCCAAACTGTGAAGAGCCTCACAGGCCAGATGAGGATCCAGTAGCAGTAGCATGAGCATCTGGAGAATTGTAATCATGTAACCAGCATCCTTCTACTTGAACAACAGGTTTTAAAAGTTATTCATGTTATAGTGAAAAGTAACTTATAGCTATACGTTATTTAAATCAGAGAGTATCTAACACTTGCTGAGGTATTTGGATTGTTCCATTGTTGAGCAGTCTGGCATTGTTTTTTTGGCAAAACAAAGCATTTTCTGTGTCACAATAGCCAATGGACAATTTGGTTATGCCATGTTTAACATGTTCTCTTTTTGATAAAATATTGAATAAATACAATTGGAGGTGCTTTTTCATTTGCTTACAATTAATTATTGCTTTTGATGTCATTTTCCCCCTAGAGGTTATATTTTCAATTTAGGCAGCACAGTAGAATCTCAATCAAAATGCTTACATGGCAAGATTCTGATTGAGGTGTCATCAAAAGCAATTATTTAACGTGTAAAAAATCACAATTGGCCTATAGTAAGTGAGATAGTAGTCACTTTTTAATTATTTTTTAGCTTCCCACAACTCTGGCTATTAGTTTTTATGTATCAGATCAACACAAATCCATTAAATTATTCACTCAGATATTTGTTTGATTACATATTTTTTGCCATATATCTGTTATTTCTAAATTTAACAAAAGTCTAGCTCTTGGAATTTATGCATGATATGGATAATGCATATTCTCAGTGCTTTGTACTAATGAGAGATAACAGCAACAGTCCTAGGCTAGGGGCAGACATTACACATAAACTGCTTTAAATGATCAGAAACTGTAAGAGAACCTGTAACAGGACAGACATTCAGTGCATATAAACCAGTTTGAAAATGGCTGAAACTGGTTTGAGATAAACCTGATTGAATGTAGTATCACACTTAACTGATTTGGCTCAAACTGGTTTATGCAATGTCTGCCCCAGATCCCTTGCTGGTTTAAGTTAAACCAGACTCCCCCAGCATCCCAGCATGCTCTCTGGGCTGGGCTCTGTTCTGCTTCAGAGATGGGCTGGCCCCACCCTTCTGCTTTCTAGCCAGAGCAGGGACAGGACATGGTGAGATGCTGGGCAGCATGACCCCATTAAGGCAAAGTGGGCAGGGAGAGGATTAATTCTTCCCTCCTTTGCCTCCTTCCCCACTGCAGCTAGGGTCTGTCTGTCACCCAGGCAGCAGAGGGGTGGGACCTGCAGCGGTGGCCTCTGGGACTGGCAGACCCTGGCTGCAGGGCTATAGGGACCAGAAGGGATGGAGGGAGTAATTAACCGTTCTCTCTGCCCCCTTCACCTTAATGGGGGCCATGCTGGGATGGTTGTCCTGTGGGGCAGGGAAGGGAGCTCTGCTCTGTGCTGGGGGGAGTCTTCCCCCTCCTTGTCTTCCCCCCAGGGAGGCTGGCAGATGACGGTGCCTTGGATTAGCAGGTGAAACTGCAGAAAGCTGATGAAGCTGTGCTGTTTTATTGTGGTAGGTGTGGATCATTAACTCCACCTGTCAAACAGCAGTGGTTTTCTAAAGAGAGTGAACCAGAGCAGCACTTCTCAACCCGTGGGTCACAACCCTGACGTGGGTCACAAGAATGTATGAAAGTGTTGTGAACAAACATTAAAAATGGATCAACACACTTTAAAAATGGATTCTCCTTTAAAGCAGAAAAATGATGGTTGCTTTTCCCTTGTAGGCTGGCAGCATTCCAGCCTGCAAAGAGCTGCTTGGGGCCCTCCATGCCCCACAAACACCCATCCCCTGCCCCACACACTGGGGGGCTGGGGCAGTGGGTCGAAAGTGAGGTGCTCTGGCTCAGAACTGGCCATCAATGTTTCCAAAAGTGTCCTGGTACAAAAAAGTTTGAGAACCACTGAACTACAGTGCTAGGATAGAGCAAGGTAAAACACACGGACAGCGAAGCACAAGGGGATGCTTAACCTGAGATTTGAATGACTAATAAAACCAACAATGAACAAGTTTTAGAAGCTTGCATAAAGCTGCTGACTATCTACCAGTTAATCTTGGTAAGTACAGTTTGGTACCTCTGCACAGAATAGGAGGGAAATTGAAGTGGCTGTCTTGAGAGAGGCAGATTGGAAAGAAGTGGCCTTGGAAGAGAACTTCAAAAATCAGTTGAATGATGGAAAATCTGGAGTTTATGTAATGGTATTGTTTTGAGGTATCATTAGAGCTGAACCTTAGATGAGGGGTGAATTTGAGCATTAATTCAAGGTCCTGGAAGTTCTCCAGATGAAAAGAAAGGGAATTGGCCTGTTCACAGAATAGTACTGTAAATTATAATATTACACATTTATATTTTTTCTTTTGAAGTCCATAATAAAAACAAAGAAAGAGAAGCTTTCATTTAAAATAGATAAGCAGTTTTTCCCACTAAGGAATATCCAGCTAATTTTCTTGTGAGCCTATTAAGTTATAAGGTCTGATTCTCCAGTCCATTACATGGGTTTTATGTGAATGTAACTTCATTAAAATTAGTGGCATTACACCAGAATAAAACTGATGTAATGGGGTAGAGAATCAGGCCCTTGATACACCTTAGCAATGCAAGATGAATTACATAGCTATCAGAAACAGTACACTGTGGTACAGAAACTCCATTCCCATCTCAATCTCTTTTTATTTTGTCTTTATAATCAGGCTTTCTTAAATTGCACATATGAAGGCACTTAGATTTAATTTCAGGGAGGGGACATTCTGTTGTGTTATAGTATCCATTTTACAATTCCAGCTATATTAATATAGTTTCAATAGTACTGCTTGATGCAGTAGAAAAATGTACTGATACTGTAAAAATGCTGATTTAAAGTGTTACTGAATTTTTAAGTCTCCTTGGTCTTTTGACTAAGACTGCAAAATATTGTATCAGTTTAATATCTGATATCTGGGGGACTATTCTGTGCATTTGAAAAGAAGCAGGCTCAGTACTCAAATAGATCTTTTCTCTAGCTTCTCACTCTGTGGCTTATTGCAGTGGAAAACCGCTGCTCTGATAATGCTTGGTAATGCTCTTAAATTATGTTAGCCCCAAGATACTATTCATGAATTTAGATTTTTCAGAACTGCCTGTGGCCATGCGGCCTGATCAACTGGTGTTTATTTCTGTGCAAATAACCACTTACCACAGTACAGATACTATGCGGAAGCTTGTACATTTTCCTCTACTACAATAACTGTATTGACTCTTCTGACGGTGTATACAGGCCGTATATTACAGAGTCAAACCCCCAAATACAGGAGGGTGGTTTTATGCACAAGTGAAATATGTTCTCTCTCTACTCTACTGGATAGCAAAAAATCATTTCAGAGTACCACCAACATATGTCTGATGCCCTGGTTGATACCCAGGTTGTAAATGTGTTCTGTTAAGGCAGGGGCAGGCAATTCTTTCTGGTGGAGGACTGCTTACCAAGTTTTAACAAGCCATTGAGGGCCACATGAGTAGCCCCACCCCTTTACAGGTGCCCCACCCCCTGGTCACCATCTTTGGACCAGAAGTCTGGCCCCCTAACCCCTGACCTTTCCCACCAGAAGTCCCTTGCCTTGCCTCCTGGAAATATTCCTTTCAGCAAGGGGGTTGCCATCTCAGAACCAGAAAAATACCAAATTATATTCTGAAAATCCCACATGTACTACAACATTCATTAATTTCATTTCAGAAAATATTTTTTTTCCTGATTTACATG